TGTGTGTGTGTGTGTGTGGGTGTGTGTGTGTGTGTGTAGTGTGGGTGTGTGTGTGTTGGTGTGTGTGGTGTGTGTGTTGTGTGTGATGTGTGTGGTGTGTGTGTGTGTGTGTGGATGGTGTGGGTGTGTGTGTGTGTGATGGTGTGTGTGTGGTGTGTGTGTGTGTGATGTGTGTGTGTTGTGTGTGTGTGTGTGTGTGTGTGTGGTGGTGTGTGTGTGTGGTGTGTGTGTGTGTGTGTGTGTGTGTGTGTGTGTGTGTGTGTGTGTGTGTGTGTGTGTGTGTGTGTGTGTGTGTGTGTGTGTGTGTGTGTGTGTGTGTGTGTGTGTGTGTGTGTGTGTGTGTGTGTGTGTGTGTGTGTGTGTGTGTGTGTGTGTGTGTGTGTGTGTGTGTGTGTATCTATGCATTTATATCAATAGCCTGCCGCTCGCATTGTTGAGCTGTTGCAAGACTGATACCCCGTCCACCCCTACAGACAGCACTGCAGCGGAGTCACAAGGCAATCGACTTCGGTTATCGCGACCAACATCTGTTTTGTATCGATCCGCTGGTGTGAGCGTGTCACTGAGACCATTAGCCCCCGCCTCCGCGATTGGTCTTAAAGCGGCCGCCGCCCCAGTGGCCGTCGCCGTCCTCGGGCGAGCTCACTTCCGTCGATCTTTCTGATTGGCTTTTGTTGCGGGGCGGCCGGGTAGCCCAGATTCGGGCGAGTCGGTGTCCGGGTGGACGTCCGGGACGGGCGGCGGCGGCGGCGGCCCTCCGCGGCCACGCCGTGCGGAACGAACGACACTGACCGATGGTGCCGCCGCTAACACTGCGGCGCGCCACCCGGCAACGGAGCCCGCGTGGAATTGGACGACAACGGACCGAGCCCGATAGGGCAGTATAATATCGGACTGGGTACGGTTGGATCGACTCGAATTAAACTGGACATGATGGGATCTGCGTCTGATAGACTGGATTGGACTCGATTGGAAAAGACCGGATCGATTGGTTCGGATGAGTCCGAATCGGTCGGAGCAGACCTCTGTGAATGAGACTCCCGAACCGGAAGGTATTTTAGGGCTGATCGGACCGGACCGGACCGGACCGGACCGGACCAGACCGGACCGGACCGAACCGGACCGGACCGGACCGGACCGGACCGGACCGGACCGGACCGGACCGGACCGGACCGAACCGAACCGAACCGAACCGAACCGAACCGAACCGAACCGAACCGAACCGAACCGAACCGAACCGAACCGAACCGAACCGACCGAACCGAACCGAGCCGAGCCGAACCGATCCGAACCGATCCGAACCGATCCGAGCCGTGCTGAATCGAACCGAACCGAACCGAACTGAACTGAACTGAACTGAACTGAACTGAACTGAACTGAACTGAACTGAACCGGACCGGATCGGATCGGATCCGGCTGATCAACGTAGCTGACTCGTAGGTAGCTACATTGTCCACCCAGATATGGCGTGACAGCTCGGCGACCCTCCCTCCCCCCCTCCGCAGGCACCCGGACATGGCTTGGCCTGACCCCGTGCTGTATGGACAGAGGGTCGGTGCCCCGTCGACCGCAAGGTGCGGCCCGCGTCTGGACCACGGCTTCGGTGTGATCCGGAGTCGTCAATAATCACCGTCACCGTCACAGTGCACGGGAAAACAGACAAGCCGTGCCGGCCGAGCTGTGGCCGGCGCGCTCAGCCGGGACGCAGCAGCCAGTTGAGCTGTCGGGGCGCACTTTCACCAGCCGTGTACCGATGTTGAGCCGGACTTGACCGTTTTCACCTGGGCCTTGGTCGGCCGCTGGCCGCCTGGTGACACTCCCGCACTGCGTGGGCGACACGTGCCCAATGACTGCCGCCGATCGGAGACAGCGGGCCGGGGCCTATGTGGCGCGCTCGGGCTGTTTACGGCGCACAGGGTCGTGGCGCGGGCTCCATGTCCGCATGGCGCGGTCTCCTGCTAACCGCTGCCCAGGGTGATTCGCCTGCCGCATCCCGTGTGCATCTCGCGCGGCCCTGGCGCCCGATTTGATGAGCGGCTGTACGCTTGAGGCCCTGGCCCCTGGTATGTGTGAACACGTGTTGAGCCTTCAGAAAATCGAGTACAAACAGAGCTAAATCGTGCGCAGGTCAGATGCCCGCAGAACTTGCAACGATGCAATGTTTGATACGAGCTAGGCAAAAAGCATTCGCATAGACGAAAAAGGGGTATTTGCCCCCTCATCTGAAGCTATGTGACCACCAGTTCTCATGTATATTTGATCTGAGACTGGGACTTGCAAGACATGGGTTCGCTCAGGCTTCTCCTACTCAATTACCATAGTCCTGGCGAAGCCCGTCTGACAGCCGGTGGCTCTCACGAGAGACCATTTCGATGTTCTTATCAGAGGCGCATCTAGTAGAACGGCCAGTCTTCCCTTGGGGTGTACGTAGGGTTCGTAGGAGGAGGGGGAAAATACGGCCCTGTAAAACCTGTCGATATTCTAAGCGCGTTTTAAGTCTCAAAAATTGTATCGTCTCAAGAGACATAGGGCAATAATGGCATGTCGGCGCTTAAGACTAGAATGAATGAGACAGCAAATATGGGGTAGGGTCCTGCTGGGACGTTGTGGGTGTTTAGCCCAGTGCAGGGCCCCAGGAAGTTTCATATCCCCACGTTGGCGAAGTCTGTGAAGCGCTCTTGGGCTTGGACGACGACTCCCACGGCCTGAAGTAATTCTTCCAGACTTCCTAAAAGTCTGGAGTCGCTCTGCTCTAGGGAAATCTTCGAGCCAAGGAGAGCTATAGTCCCACCACTTCTGTAAGGTGAGGTTGTTATCGAATGTTCCGGCCACCAGGCTGACACTGTTTACCCCACTGATGCCAGGATTATTCCTTGAAATGCGATTCATCCTGTTTGAAGCACGTTATAATGTTGTTTACCTTGGAAATTGGGAACAGGCAGTTACAAACGATGGCAGCTGAATTCAATTTCAAATGTACCAAGTAATCCAAACCTCATCTCATCCCTCAAACCATACCATACCATACCTCATACCTCAAACCATACCATACTTCATACCTCAAACCGTACCATACCTCATACCTCAAACCATACTATACCATACCTCATACCTCTGACCATAACCCCATCCCCCGCGGTGCCTACCTTACCATACCATACCATACCATACCATACCATACCATACCATACCATACCATACCATACCATACCTCATACCTCAGACCATAACCTCATCCCCCGCGGTGCCTACCTTTCCTGCCAAGGTGAGAGGAAGGCAACGCCACGTATCCGAAGCACACACGCCACGCCTCAGCAGCGGAGGGCGTCGTAGAGCCCCAATGACAGCGACAGCACTTACCCCTCTCCTCCAATCTCGTTCTACGGCCTTCTCTGTGGCAGAGGTCTGCCCAGCAGCCGTCTACCGTCCGCGTTGGCTGTTGCTTGGTTCCCACCCACCGGTCACCCCACCGACGGTCGGCAGGCTGTTGCTTGGTTCCCACCCACCGGCCACCCGCCGACGGTCGGCGTCTTCCTATGACGCTCGCGGCGTCTGGTCTTCCATGCTGCTTAAACGGGCGTTTCTCCTAATTTCTCCTTGCACTAAAGCTTCTCCAGTGCGCGCAGGCACGCTCTTGGGCGTGGCACTGGATGTGTCCGGTGGTGCGGCTGGTGTCCAGAAACATGCGTGGTCTCACCATAACGCCCGAATTACCGAAACACCCTCTGTTTCCGCTTGCCGCTCGCGGTCTCCTCATGATGCCCAAGAGCTCCCGGTGGCACGTCGGTCTCTCGACGCTCTTTTTTCGTCCGTAGCGTCTTGGTCTGGACGTGGCGCGGATGATTCCTTCACATGACGTTCGGCTCCCCGGACGTCTTATTCAATCAGGGCGCTGCGATGATTTGCTCCGGTTTCATTACGCTCCCGGGGGATGAGCACAGCCAAGACCAATGCGCTGGCGTCTCCGGCCCCGCGCGCCGCCCTGACGCCGTGGACGCACGGAGGCCAGTCTCGGCGCCGCGGCGCATTCACCGTCGCCGCGCCTTCGAAAAGGCAACAAAACAAGTGCTGCGCGGGGCATTGAGGGTGAAAGCAGACGTTTCTTGTCGTTTTTGCGTGCGTTACGCGTGGTTGCACCAATGTGAACGCAGGATCTTGTCCAGACTGACTCTAATTTGACTAGAATTAGCCTAAACACTTCAATTTTTTCTTTGTTCTTCTTCCGTACTTCACAGCTTCGCTAGAATGCAGTTGACAGCTAGGTGTTACAAATCGGAAATTAACTATACGAGTAACAAGTAATTTTCTGTGCTGTAGGCCTGAATGTATCTTGTGCCGGGCACGGTATCACAAAACGTCACGAACGTTTGAGCTTTGGTGAAATTTGTGCTCACTTTCACTTCAGTACCTTGCTCTCAGAAATCTGGTGTTTTCTGTGCCCTTAACCTACAAGAAAACCTGTGTGCCCATTAAACTTCGGCGATGTCTGTGCTCCCTCTCATCTTAGGCTATCTCTTCCCGCGGCAGACAAGCGGGATATTGTCTCTGGCTCTCGTGCCCTGTGTTCTCGATGCGTAGCTGTCATCCAGCAAGGTCTCATGTCGCCCTTTGAACTGCAATGACCTGGGTGTGTCTTTCTACCGTGAGTGACTTATTTGACCCCTCAGACCTCTGGTGACATCTGTGATCGTTAGGGGGGCGGTGGCCAGCCTTTGCAACCAATGTGTCCGTCAGAACTCTGGTGACGTTCGTGTTCCCTCTGACCTCCGGTGGCGCTGTGTGCCTTCCGACCTCTGCGGTCCCTCTTACCTCCGATGTCCTAATCTTCCCGTATGACCCTTGTTGACCTTGGTGCGCGGCAGACGAGCGGTCTCCAGGCGCCATGACCTCTGGGCCCCGTATAACCTCCGTCGGTCTTTTGTGTGCGGCAGACGAGCGGTCGCCAGGCGCCATGACCTCTGGGCCCCGTATGACCTCTGTTGATCTTTTGTGTGCGGCAGACGAGCGGCCGCCAGGCGTCCCGTGCAGGCCAGGGGAGTCGCCGCTGGCAGCGCGCTCGTCGTCCACGCTGGACCGCCGCTCGGTGGCCAGCCTGCCCATCTCGGAGCCCGACGACGACATTGACCGCCTGGTGGCTATCCACCAGCAGCGCTCCTCGTCCCAGCTCTCCACTCTTGGGGTGAGTGTCGGCCGCACCCACATCAGCGGTTCGCACGCACATCAGCAGTTCGCACGACATTAGCCGTTGGCACGATATCAGCAGCCTACACTATATCGGCAGTTCACGCAAAACGCAAACACACATACACGTCATGCACCTACGCCCTGGAGTAGACACCGATCAGTAGTAACATGTGTTCTGCAGCATGTGTAATAGGAGAATGCGTAACACGATATAACATCTGTTCATTGCAAAGATGATGTTTCGTATTGCTAATTGAGGGTTAAGTGTTACCAGATGGCAACATTGAATACCACCCTGGGCCCGATCGGATGCTGCAAGCTCTCTTGGCAGCGAGTTGTGATCTGTTTGATTGGAGATCGACGGCTTGTCGGCCACATCAATACGTCTGACGGATAGTGACGCACAACGACGCATTCGTAACCAGTGGTACTTGCAATCATCTCGTGGACGGCGAGCTAAAAATATCTGCAAGCTAGCCGATCAGATTCCAACCATCGCATCACGCGGAATAACATTATTACCCCACAGAAAATACTCAGCGGAAAATTGTAAGCCTGAGCTGTCGTTTTGAGCTAACCTTTGGTAATAATGGGTCTCCAACAACCACGTGGGCCTCAAACAAAAGAGCTGCCTCTAACCAAACTGGGCTGCGTCGTCCGCATAGTGAGCAGTCTGCCGCCATGGACAACCACGGAATAGAACAGCGTGTTTTCTCCCCACCGAGCGTCCGCGGACGGTCCGCGCGGATGGTGGGGGGGGGGGGGGGGGGGGGGGAGGGGCCAGGGGATGTCACGCACCTGCCGACGCCCGCTGGCTAAGTAATGACTGTTTACGGATGGGAGTTGCCGGCGGCCTCCGTTGTCCTCCCCAGGGCGCTTCCGTCCCCCGCTGGAGCTGAAGCCAACCGAGGCGACAACACACCGGCAGTTGCCGGCGGCCTCCGTTGTCCTCCCCAGGGCGATACCGTCCCCCGCTGGAGCTGGGGCCAACCGAGGCGACAACACACCGGTAGTTGCCGGCGGCCTCCGTTGTCCTCCCCAGGGCGATACCGTCCCCCGCTGGAGCTGGGGCCAACCGAGGCGACAACACACCGGCAGGGGCATGGCGGCGAGCGGGCGCAGGACCGCCGTGCGATACGGTTACGCCATGGTGCGACACAGAAGGCTGTTGTCAAAAGCCTCGGGCCTGTTCGACGCTCGTGGGCGCGTGCGAAGGAGCGTCTGGACAGCACGTCATACTGTAGGGCCTTTGTAAGCAGTGCGCGTACTGCGTAATTAATGCACCACCAGTCACCAGCGCCTATCCGTTTCCAATTTCCTGTTCGGCCAGGGGCACATCGTGACCTTGTGCCCAATTCGCTCTCTCTTTTCGGCTGCGACGTAGTGGCTTATGTCCGTTCCGGTACGCGAATTGTACCGGCTTAGGTAGCGGCAGGAACCTGGGCAAAGGGCCATTGACCGATTCTCAGTGTCCGATGCTGAGAGTTGAGTGGATGTAATAGCGCTCCAGCTCTATTAGAAGGCCCCCAACCCCATGCCACTGTCTTGGGGTCAAGTTTTTGTCTGGTCAGGAGCCGACCTTTTTGCCGAGACCGCCAAAGGTGGACGTCACAAAGCTGCTTCTTCTGGCGATTAAACTCACAGCATATGATGCCGAAGACCATCCACGTGTTCCGAGTGTGTTGATATGGTTGGGAGGGAAATTGAAAGGGTGGAGAGCGTTTGGAAGTTGTCGTGGACAATCGGCCAGACGCTACCGAATTAGGACAACCGCAATGCAGATTCATTGGAGCCGTCGCGGGTGAGGTGCGTTTATTTTAAACAACGTAATCGTGTCATCTTCAACCGACCGGTTTCATGTCTGGGCGATTATTATCCCAGAGAGCTATTCGGCCACTCGCCGCACGCTTAGCATCTGGACAGCCGCGAGGTTCTCCACTCCGCAGTTTTGACAAATTAATCATATCTTTTCTCCTCTCTCTTTCTCCCGGGGGGCAGACAAGAGGGATCGAAGGAGAGAGAGAGGAGGCGAGAGGCCAGCGAGAGAGAGAGCTCGAGAGCTCTCTCTCTCTTCTCTCTCTCCTTCTCTCTCTCTCTCTCTCTCTTCTCTCTCTCTCTCTCTCTCTCTCTCTCTCTCTCTCTCTCTCTCTCTCTCTCTCTCTCTCTCTCTCTCTCTCTCTCTCTCTCTCTCTTCTCTTCTCTCTTCTCTCTCTCTCTCTCTCTCTCTCCTCCTTCTCTCTTCTCTCTCTCTCTCCTCTCTTCTCTCTCTCTCTTCTCTCTCTCTCTCTATCTCTCTCTCTCTCTCTCTCTCTCTTCTCTCTCTCTCTCTCTCTCTCTCTCTCTCTCTCTCTCTCTCTCTTCTCTCTCTTCTCTCTCTCTCTCTCTCTCTCTCTCTCTCTCTCTCTCTCTCTCTCTCTCTCTCTCTCTCTCTCTCTCGCCCACTCACTCACTCACTCACTCACTCACTCACTCACTCACTCACTCACTCACTCACTCACTCACTCACTCACTCACTCACTCTCGGGCTCTACGTTTCCTCTCTCATCGCACATACCCTCCGGCGTTCGCAGCTTCCTCTCTTTCTTTTCACCTTCTTTGCTTTTGTTGTATTTTTATCATTCGGTCATTTTGCATTTTTCCCTCATCACTTTGGTTGTAAGCTGTTGTCTTTCCCCGCTTTTCTTCCCTAGACCTTACTTATTATTTGTTTCACGATTTCATTCTTTACGGCAGAATTCCTGGAAGTGAAATTGTCAGCCCGCCCACCCGGACAGAGTGACAGACGGGCGACGCCATATAGCCTCAGCAGCTGAGTGCGTCGTAAAGCTCCAACGCCGACGACAATGTAACATTGTCGTCCATAGCTGCTGTTTGCTCACGCACGGTGTGCACAACGAGGCAGCACATAATGAATATATAATCTGACACAAAGCAATTGTACAGATAGCAATAGGAATACAAAAGTAAAAAAATGGCACGAATGCAAACGCTGCATTTTAACGTTCCAGGGCTGACTTCTCCAGTATCCGTTGGTGTACTTGTTATACACAGATCGATATTACACTGATACACTGCACCAATATGTCGTTTTTTGCCACCAGTCAGCTAACAAGCACGTTTTGAGACGGCACAGTGATCAGGTCAGATCGAGCTTGTCCTTCAGTCACACCAACTCCAGGTTAAATCACTTGCGCAGGCACACGCGGGCTGCTTCTGGTCGATACGAATGGTATCAGCCACGCCCCATTGTGGCTTGAGTTTGGCCCGCCGTAAGCGGTCCGGCGCCGCCGCCGGCTAAAAGGTCGGCCGTCGTTCTGAGGCCCCGGCCTTAGTCAAGTCCGGCAGCCGAATCATCGTGCGGTTAGAGTCGGCGTGCGCCACGCTTCCGACCAGCTGGCTCGGCGCTGCTCGCCGACACGCGCGCCTCACGCTGAGGACCTGCTGACGACGCTCGCGCCTCTGAGCGGACCGACGGCGCGGCTGCATGTGCAGCGGCCATTCGATGGGGCGCGTCAAGGTGGTCGGACCACCTGAGGGCCAGGTCGATGCCGGTGGGCCGGCCACGTTCGGACCCGGGAGCCGGCGCCCAAACGAGCCTTAAAACACGCTCAGGCGGCGCTGTCCGCTTGAGCCGGCGGCGTGCTGGGCGTGCTTCGTGGCGTGCCCAACACCGACCGAGTGGTATGACTTCGCGGCAGCGTGGCGTGGCCTATAAACTAGAAGGCTGGGCGGGAGGGCCTAACTCTGCAGCGATTAGTGATGTGCCTATCTGTGTCGACGGATCGCACGCGTAATGTGTTATCAGCCATGACCAGTTGGCCGGCCGGTAATTGTTGTGTGTTTGTTTGTGTACGTGCGTGAGTGTGTGCGCATGTGCGACGGGCGTGTGTCTGATTCCCGAGTGGATTCGGTTTATTTGCCAGCGTATCGCCCGCGCGCAGTGCTGCGTGCCGGCGCCACGTCGGCCAGCGCGTCTGCCGTCCGGCCAGCGGCGCGCCGCCCACCTGCGTGACATTCGCCCCCGCCTGGTGCGCGCTGGCCGACTAATTCGGTCAATGTCGCGGTGGCGGACACGTCTCCTGGCCGCGCGGTGGCCCGCCTGGCCCGATGAGCAGCATCGATCTGTGGCGACGCAGGCTGTTTGCACGCGGCGCAGGGTGGGGGAGAGGCGCGACCGCCGCCGGCCGGGCAAGCCGACGCCCTCGGCGAAATCGTCCCGAGCTGCTCGCGCTGCCGGCCGGCGGACGCTCTCTGACGAGCGTCGGCTTCTGCTGGACAACTCGTGGGGAGGTGTTCGAGCATGGACGCGCTGGCCAGTCAGCGCATCGGCCAGCCAGAGGGTCGGCGTGTTGGGGCTGCGCTCGCCGCGCGTCCCCGGACCTGGCGCCGGTCCCGCGCTCCACCGGCTCGCACAGTTCCGCCGCCGGTCCCTGGGGTGGCTGCGCTCCGTGTGGCTGATTGGACAGAAGAGCCTCGGACGAGGCGGCTGAAGCCGGTCATTACGCACGCCTGTTAAGCCGTGCGTGTCGAGATCGGCACCGGAGGCTGGCGTCCAGGCAGGCGTCGGGTGACGCGACATGTGGGACGACCGCGCCACCTTCGGGCGATGTTGTTAGGTGGCGGACCGTACCGCCACGCGTTGGGACGTGTGGGACGCCATCGTGAGGAGGCTGACAGTGTCACCAGGTATGGGCGGCCATTACCAGATGCTGCGCGGTGTCAGCTGGTGTTGAACGGCGCTGGGCGGCCCTGCTGTGCGTGAGTGGGCCTCGGGCTCGGGTTTTTACCGCGGCCGACCCGTTGGGCTGCGCGTGACGGGCACGGGTGGTTGATGGCCTTGGCCTGGTTGTCTTCCTCTGCAGCCAGGCAGCGGCGTCCGGTGATCCCCTGTGGGATCGGACGCGCGCAATGGAGCTCTTTTTCCAATAATGGCTCACTACCGATGTCGCCCAACAATGACAGCTACTCCATAACGTGAATGTTTTTCTTTGTCCTTTTTGGCGGGCTCGCTTTCCTTACACAGAGAATAAGCATGCAGAGTCTGCGAATGTTCGCTGTGTCATGCCTTGAGCAAATCTCTCTCCTGCTCAGACGGATACGCAGACACTGTGGTGACCGGCAGCATGCTCTTCACTCGTAAGTCATGGGCATCACTGGCGAAGCGTTAGGAAAACCACTGTTGATGTACGCTTCTATGCGACTGCCTGCTCGGCGGACTCCTGGGGACTGCTGCTCGCCTGCTCTGCTGGGGACGACTGCTCGCCTGCTCGGCGAACTCCTCGGGACGACTGCTCGCCTGATCTGCGGACTCCTCGGGACGACTGCTCGCCTGATCTGCGGACTCCTGGGGACGACTGCTCGCCTGCTCTGCGGACTCCTCGGGACGACTGCTCGCCTGATCTGCGGACTCCTGGGGACGACTGCTCGCCTGCTCTGCGGACTCCTGGGGACGGCTGCTCGCCTGATCTGCGGACTCCTGGGGACGGCTGCTCGTCCGCCCGCACTGTGCTCGCTGACCCTGACATCTTGTGTTCCAGTCTCGGAGCGACTCACTGGCCAGCGTGTACTCGGCGGGCGAGGCGCGCTACGGCACGGTCCCGGTACGCGGTGACCTGGAGCTGGCGCTGCAGTACAACTACCAGCAGAGCGCGCTCGAGGTCACCGTCAAGCAGTGCCGCGATCTGGCCGCTGTCGACGCCAAGCGCAACCGCTCCGACCCGTAAGTACCGGTCGCGCCAGCAGGACGGGACGGGACGAGACGGGACGCGACGGGACGCGACGGGACGTGACGGCACGGGACGGGGACGGGGACGGGGACGGGGACGGGACGGGGACGGGGACGGGGACGGGGACGGGGACGGGGACGGGGACGGGGACGGGGACGGGGCGGGGGCGGGACGGGACGGGACGGGACGAGAGACGGGACGGGACGTCGGGTCGGGACAGGACGGGACGGGTCAGGGGTCGGGTCGGGTCGGGTCGGGTCGGGTCGGGACGCTGGCCTCAGCCTCCGGCGGCCCGGTACCGTGGTCGCTACTCCATCGATTAGGCGCGAACTCACACATGTCAATGGCTGTATTTTGCTATGAAATTAATAAAGCCAGGCAGTTACCCTCGTATTTGGTCGTGCCGGTCGCTCATTTAGTTAGAGCACCTGCCTTCCGATTCATCCACCCCGACTGGGGTAGTACCGAGTCACTGTAAGCGATCGCAGTGAGTCCGTGACTGCGATGGCCTGCGGCCGGCGGCAGCAGCCGCGCTAAAGGTCAGGTGGCTTCAAAGGGCAGCACGGACCGTGCCGAGCATTGCGGCACGTTGAGCTTTCGTCGCAAAATTGTACTGCTGACCTGAAATTTTGCGATCGGGTGTTGGCGCCAGGGTTTACAAACAAGCTACTGTTGATATGGACTGCGGTCCGGAAAATCCACCAATCGAAGGGCCTTGAAGTAATCAAAGGAATATATCAATGAAAAGCAAAGGGCCAGCTCGTGGAAGGCTGTTTTTACTCATTCGCAGCTTTGATGAGCCATGATTGCCCGGCCGCCTTTGCTTGGCGGTGGCGCTACTGTAGGTTGCCACCAAGGCTTCACGACGCACCCGGGGGCAAACGCGTCGCCTGTTTCTTTCCCCGGCAGGAACGACAAGTATGGCGCATAACCGGGGGGCGATATTCTTCCTGTAGTCCGGTTTGGCGACATTGTTGCTCGCGAACAATGTCGCCAGGCTGTAAAGCGGTTAGCCAATGCTGGCTGATCAAAGGTGCAGTAGCTGAGTAAAAGGCTGCCCTGCACCGACATCATATTTCAATCTAGACAGCCCTACCCCCCCTCCCCCCCACACACACACCGCTTACATGGCTCAGACTAAGTTGACAGGCAAACAAATATCAACGTTGGGACCGAAAGCTTGTTCTATCTTCGAATTGTTTCATTTTATAGTAAACCGCAATGCAAGTGTTGGCATGATAAGGAGCATGATTTGCCTCATGAAAACGTCGACCTTGCCAGAGTCCGCGCCATTTCAGAACGTACCTAAGCGGCGTTAGGCTTGTGCGCTGTACAGGCGCCGCGCGCCATGGGTCCCGCGTTTATTTGGGTCGTGTCAGCTCTTGAAGGGACGTGTCGCGGCGGGGAAATGATGATGACCGTGGAGCCGCGGGGTTGAAGGCAGTGATGTACCGCGGTTACGGTGATGTTGCGGTGCACGACGAAATTCCGTTTGCGATGTGTCCGCCTAAACACTGCGCATGGTCGCACCACCACCGGCCCGTCAGACTACCACCAGCCCGTCAGACTACCACCTGCCCGTCAAAGACCACCACCGGTTCGTCAAAGGCCACCATCGGCCCGTCAAAGACCACCACCGGCCCGTCAAAGACCACCACCGGTTCGTCAAAGGCCACCATCGTCCCGTTAAAGGCTACCACCGACCCGTCGAAGACATCCACCGGCCCGTCATGGACCGAGAGAGATCCTTTAAAGCCGCGTGCCGTCCAGAACCGTCCTGACTTGCAGATGAGCACCTGCTTGCGTTGTTATGCCATGAGACTCACGTGACGGCGCGACCGTCGGCCATCTGTTTTGGACAGGCGACGAGTGACCGCGGCCTGCTATGGAGCATATAAGCCAATATCTCGGCAGAGGGGCAATCCTTGCGTCAGCTTGCCGGGCCCTATCACCGCGGTGGTCGTGTTGCCAAGCCCCGATGGTGGGATTCGACAAGGCCGACAGAGCCAGGGCGCTGATGAGGCAATTTCAATCCATCGATGGTTTTGGGCTGGCGTCGCGCGTGAGTCCTTGTCGGTTCTTCCTTTTTCGGAAGCGGTGATGTGTCTCAACGGCGAGGCATTCTCTGCGCTGTACAGACGTCGGACATCTGACGTCCTGTGACGCCAGACAGACGGCGGTACGACGGGCGTGTTAATCCGGACACCAACAGACGGCGGGACTACGGGCGTGTTGGTCCGGACACCAACAGACGGCGGGACTACAGGCGTGTTGGTCCGGACACCAGCAGACGGCGGCACTACGGGCGTGATGGTCCGGACACCAACAGACGGCGGGACTACAGGCGTGTTGGTCCGGACACCAGCAGACGGCGGCACTACGGGCGTGATGGTCCGGACACCAACAGACGGCGGGACTACCGGCGTGTTGGTCCGGACACCAACAGACGGCGGTACGACGGGCGTGTTAATCCGGACACCAACAAACGGCGGCACTACGGGCGTGTTGGTCCGGACACCAACAGACGGCGGTACTAGGGGCGCGATGGTCCGGACACCAACAGACGGCGGTACGACAGGCGTGTTAATCCGGACACCAGCAGACGGCGGGACTACGGACGTATTGGTCCGGACACCAACAGACGGCGGGACTACGGGCGTGTTGGTCCGGACACCAACAGACGGCGGTACGACGGGCGTGTTAATCCGGACACCAACAGACGGCGGGACTACGGGCGTATTGGTCCGGACACCAACAGACGGCGGGACTACGGGCGTGTTGGTCCGGACACCAACAGACGGCGGTACGACGGGCGTGTTAATCCGGATACCAACAGACGGCGGGACTACGGGCGTGTTAATCCGGACACCAACAGACGGCGGTACGACGGGCGTGTTAATCCGGACACCAACAGACGGCGGCACTACGGGCGTGTTGGTCCGGACACCAACAGACGGCGGGACTACGGGCGTGTTGGTCCGGACACCAACAGACGGCGGGACTACGGACGTGTTGGTCCGGACACCAACAGACGGCGGGACTACGGGCGCGTTGATCCGGACACCCACAGACGGCGGGACGCGTGTCGGGTCCGCCGATGACGCGGTCGGATTGTGCCCGCTGATTGGTTGCCCGCCGCGTGATGCCTCCCGCGGCCCCAATAGCCGTCGCATTCCGACAGCTGGCTGCTGCTAACAAGGCCCTGTGCTGCTAATGACATCAGGAAGCGTCGAGATGTCTCCGCTTAGGGGCTGGGATATCCGAGAGCCATTTGTCACAATAATTATGCCTCTGCTGTTTTTCGTTGCACGACGTTGTTTTTGCGGTCGCGCGCTGGTGCCTGGTGGCCGTTTTTCACAATAACTAATGGGGTGTTGCCAACTTAGATGAAAAATTGTAATACGTTATTCACGTCCTATTGTAACCCGTTTATGTTGTTACGATTAATTCAAACCACAACTTTGATAAAATTTAATGGAATTTGGTATTGTAGATCGTCATGTGTGATTGGCTCGCATGAGCTGGTGAGCCAATTAGGCCGGAGCTAAAATTGTTTGTTTTTGTTTCAGCTATGTGAAGGCCTATCTGCTACCCGACAGATCTAAGAGTGGCAAGAGGAAAACAAAGACGAAGAAACATACGCTGCATCCCGTGTTCGACGAAGTGCTCAAGGTGGGGGCAGACCATTATAAAATGGCCCATGAACCACACCGCTGTTCAAAATCATGGTTATCTGACAAACTGCCGGCATGCGCTGTTACTGAACATCTACAAAGCTGTATTCTTGGCTGTTGGATGTCCACCTACTCACCTGAGACGCCCACCTGTGCCTGTGGCTGATAACGCAATCGTCTTTAACCATTGTTCCATTGTCGGCTTATAATGGCTATCGTTTACCGTGTCAATGTGCCTCTCAACTGTCTACCTGCGCCTTTGTTTTGCGTTTTGTGGACAGACTGAGGCCTTTATCGGCCTTCTTTGATCGGCAATAATTTGGTCACGAATGATAATTGTTGGAAATTTCTCAGATGGCTGGCCAAAGTGTACTGCAGAAAACGTGCACTCTGGTAGGGGTCAGTTCGCCCCCTACACAAGGCTTTTTCCAAAATAGCTGCGAAATGGTGTGGCGTAGCCACGCCAAACTACGTATTGCCGTTGGCACCATAATGCTGATACGAGTGCCAACGTCCAGTGAAGACAATTCCTTGGGAATCTTTCCAGCTGATGCGACAGTGGAGTGTTAGACAAAGCCATGCAACTTTGAGATGATCTTTTAGACAATGCACCTATTGAAATAAGAATGATGACTCATTTGTTATCATGAGTCAGATATGAAGGTTGATCAAGGTCAAAACCAAACTGTTTCTGCTGGAAAACTGCATTTGCAACCTAGTTATCGAAGCCTTTTTCTAATTCCTCGATCACAAGGACGTCAACAGATTTCTCAAGTTAACTGCATGTAGGCCAGGGACGCTCAGTGACCTAAAACTGCGTTCAACCTTTTGCTTTTAGGAACATGCCATCTTGAAATGATCTTGACGCTGACTTGGAAGTCAAGTATCAAAATTGTCTGGCCGGTTTTTGGCCACTTGGGGTTCTAAATGCCCAAAACGGTCGCTGATCTGGCATAAATACAACTGACATTTTGCTTGGGAGCGGCATCTTAGTTAAACTGGTTGCGTGGGAAGGTCTGGGGACACTTGTTTGTGCAACATCGATTTTAAGTTTGACCTTGTGTGACCCCATCTGACCCGAGGGTCACGGCCCAGGGCCCTAAAAATATGACTCAGACGAGCTCGTACAAGCTGAAATCTAGCGTGGCGATATGGCTTTTCTAGTTCTCTCAGTTACTTGCATTTTAGCGGTGATGAATTGACCCTGCCCCGACTCAAGCGCATTGTATTTAATCGGCCATCTGGGCGCGTAATCATGACCGTTGCTTCCTGCATATACACGTCGTCCAGTCGGAGCCACGAGATATGGCAGCTATGCCCGACAACGCTCACCCGTGCGTTGATCCGTCTCCACTCGTCCCATCACCTCATACCCTTCCTTTGATCCGTCTCCACTCGCTCTATCATCTCATACCCTTCCGTTGATCCGTCTCCACTCGCTCCATCACCTCATACCCGTGCCGCGCATCTGTCTCCGTCTGTGCGTCTGTGCTGGCCGTTCGCTCTGGCAGCCTGTGCGCTGACCTGATGTGACCCGGCCGTCGCCTCCGGCAGTTCCCCGCGGTCGTGGCGGAGCTTGACAGCCGCACCCTCTGGGTGACCGTCTGGCACAGCGACATGTTCGGCCGCAACGACTTCCTCGGCGAGCTGGTGCTGCCCATCGGGCGCCAGATGTTCGAGGACAGCAGTCCGCGCTGGTACACACTCCAGGAGCGCGTAAGTCGACCCGTCGGCGAACGCGGCGTGCCTTGTGGCCCGGCTGCTGGCCGTGGGGCAGGTGTGGCAGGTCTCAACACGTTAAGAGCTCGTGACTGGCGAGAGAGCAGAGGGCCATCGGTCGAGATATCCGCGCGCCCAACGCCATCTCGTGGAATGGGGCGTAACGCGACCAACGACGTGGCCGTCGCAGATGTGGCTTTTGCGACACCGCCAGCGGTTCCTGCAGTGACTGGGTTGTGTGAGGCTGGGCAAGAGGCGTGGATGGGCTTATGACGAGATGAGCCGTGTGACCACCCACGAGTTTCTCACAATGCCCTTGAACGCTGACTGGACGCTATTGACTATGTAGGATGAAGCAGGTCGGTGCCCGACCGAACTGTCTAAAAGGTAGGCCTTGAAGGATTTTCATGAGCATCCCCCAGCCAAGCCATCGCAGCACTTTTCTAACAACCATGCGTCGCCTCTTCCAGTTGTCCTACTTAGAGCCTTGTCTTCGCTTTAGCACACTCACGGCTGTCCCTGTACCACAGCGCAAGGAGTTGATCCCGGCTTAGTCTTCGCGATGCCGCACATTTGGATTCAGTTTCGTGGCCGACCTTTATCCGCTTGGGACTGGCGGCGCGCCGCGGCAGCCCCTGCCGGCGACAGCACCTGCGCTTCTCCCTCCCACACAGTGATGCCCCGTGATCAGCCGACCGCCGCTGCGCTGTATCGACCGGCGGCGGCCGTCTATCGCGCGCCGCTGCCCCGCGCCGCCTCCTCCTCCCGAGCCCGCCTCCGCCGGCATTAGCATGACCGCAAGCAGCCAGCCCGAACCGGAAGCGGCCACTTCCGGCGGCGGCGGCGCCTTCACAGGGGCACGTGCACGCGACGGGCGCAAGGGGAGTGGGATTAGTCGTTCGTCGTGCGCGACGCTGCCGGTTTGTGGTGGTTGGGGGCACGTGCTGCATCGTGCGGATACAGAGCCCGGTTTCGGACGTGTTGTGTGTGGGGCTGCATGCGATTTATGTAATTATTTTCAAGGCACGTGATAACCTTGAAAAGTGAAAGCGTACTCCTTGCAGGGACATCTTTTTACCTTTTAGACGGGGATGCGCATTTGGCTGGCCTCCTTACAGTTTTGTACGTATTGTGTTGCGCGTGCCTTACTTGCCCGGCTCAAAAATTCAGATTATTGCGGACTATAATTTTTTTTTAAAAGCTGTGGCCATACGATAAGTATGTTTTTTAGAAGGGCTCCTCGATATGTTTGCTTTGAAGGCTTTTTTCCGTGAAAAAGCAAGCCACTGACTGAAAAAATCTAGTCAGATTTTGCGATGAATGCCTTTTTCTGAGACAGTTTTCCACCGCACTTCACTTTAATTTCGGACACTCATGGAGCCGACCCAGAATCTACTGAGGGCATGCGACTGAGCCTTTGTCTGCTGCCGGTGATTCCCGATGCCATAGTGTTTGCGACAGCTTGCCCGTGACTGGCTATGCGATAATACGTGGCTACATACAGACTGTAAGGTCCCGGTGAATGGAAACCTTGGTCGCCGCACCGCGGCGCGACTGTGGTGGCGTATTACTTGTAGTGTACACTTGTACTATGCAGGTGGTAATTGACGCTATGACAGTGGGTACAAGTGGTCCGCGCACCAAACGAAGCCAGACCCACCATTAGCCGTGGAAGGAGGAGTCGATGTTATCGTGAAGGCTCGTGCCTACCGATCGATGGCGGTAATATGACGGAGGCTTGGCCCGGCTTATGGTGAGCCGCGTAGGCAGCCCAACCCTGTTGACATGGTGATTAAGGAGCGGTGATCATGGACAGCCAGCTGCTGAAAGCCCGGTCAAAGCTGGGGATCCCGAGCATGCGCATGTCTAGCATCTGGTGGCAAAAGATAGGCGTTCTTTTTCAGGTGCGCATGCCAATGATTATATATATATATATATATATATATATATATATATACCAGAGTACTGTGATGAGAGAGAATGGAACCCACGCGGTGTCGACTTCCCTATGAACCCCTTCATTACTCGATTTAACCACGAACATGTTTTTTCACTCGGGGGGTGGGGGGGGGGGGAAGGGCGAGTCTTTGCCCCACCCCACCTCACCCACCCCACATCCCCGTCCCGAGCGCAGCCCTGCTGCCCCCGGGCTGTGAACTGATCGGGCTATTGTCCATATCTTGTTATCATGTTATTGTGTCGTTCCTTCAAATGGGAAATACACCAGCGCTGTGGTGTGGCCGTGCCTCCGGTGTAACACAGCTTTGGATCCAGGCATGGTAGCATCCTAAATACTAGGCTGAGATTGGGAATGTCAGACCTGAATGCCCACCTGTTCGAAATCCAAAATCCAACTACACTTAGTCCATCTTGCTTGTGTGACTATCCATACGAAGACCCTAAACACTTTGTACTGAACTGTCCTCGCTATCATGAAATCCGACTTTCAATGCTACGTAAAACTGATGGTATCATTCTGAACTTTTCTGAGCTCACTCACAACGAGCAACTAAGTATCTATCTCAGAGGCAACGTTTTACAGGATCGCAATGGGCAGCACATAGCAAAAAAAATTCCAAACATTTCTTTTTCAGACCAAACGATTTGCCTAAAAACTTCTAGCTGGCGCGGGCAGCAGACGGGCTACTGGGTGGCGTTTCCGGGCCGAGTGTCCGCCGCCGGCCCGAGACGGCTATATGTGTAGACTGGAGCGGCGGCGGGCGCCTGGCCCGTGGCTGCTTACGGATCGGGCGGGTGGGCGGTGTGTCGCGGGTTCCCTGGCGGCGATGACCAGATCTTGTTATTGTTAGAAGAGACGCCCAGATCTAAGCGTTTCGCTTATGCGCCAATCCAGTCATCATATTATGTACTGCTTAATGTCCATAATCTCAAATAAACATCATATCAAATCAAATAAATCGTGTCCAGGTTCTCCGTAAGCTGGCGGGAAGTGGTCTTCGAGACTCGGCCGCGTCTGCTACCAGACACATCCAGTGTATTTCCGCGCCGCACGCCACAGCCTGTCCTGATCCCTGTCCGAAAACAAATGTGATTTTCAGAAGGGCATTCTGTATGCTTACCGAGTGTTACATATTTGAGCGTGTGGCACGTTATGGTACAAACAGGTATGTGGTTGTTCATCACTTTTTGGTCCATACGATGCGACTGCTGCCAGAGAGTGGGAACGAATTTACGCCATTGAAAGGGCTGGAATTACCAGGCAGGGTAGACGGCTGACGACATTTGACTCATTAAGGACAGTAAAGCGGACCTATTGCGACGACGCATATGTCAACAACTCATATTCTGACGCAGCAAGCACGTACAGAACAATCCACCAATTCCAGGGTTTGTCTTTGCATAGTTGAGTATTTTACAGCCGCTAGCTAGCTATTGTCCGGCACTCAGAGGTATTGTTTTTCGGCTGGCGCACAGTTTGCCGTCGACAGGCCAGCGTAGGTACAGTTACCGTACCACGACCGGCCCCGGCTCAGCCCTGACAGCGGGGAAGACTCACCTTCGCTCAGGACACTCAAACAGGGGCGTTCTCCTTTGCCCTCGTGATCTCCCTGGTGCCGACAGCCTTTGTGTCCAGTGCGTGTGTGCTGATCTGGGATTTGGCCGAATATAAATCAGGATGACCTTTCATACTTTTTTTTCCTTGGCAGCTTCATATTTTACCACTTATTTTGCGACTGCAGCCTTCTCTTCCTCCCCAGTATCGGCCCAGTTTTTCAAACCTTATGACAAACACTTCCAGTTTTCAAAATGGAGTAGTTCAGTTCTGCAGCCTTTTCAGTGTAAGATCCAGCTGTTTGACAAAGTTGACCGTTGCACTTGCTAAACCTTTTCAACTTATTTAGATAATCTGCATCGCTGTAAAACAAAACACGGAGACTTTAAAATGCCTCTGCCGTGGGGCGAAAACACTGTAGATCCTGCGCATTGGTTGCAGGGCTGGGGTTTTGCGTTACCCACCATCCTGCCAGGATGAGAGGCAGGCAACGCCATTTAGCCTCAGCAACTGAGTGCTTCGTAAAGCTCCAATGACGACATAGGGTAGAGGTTCCTGGCCGTCCTGTCCATCTCTTGACGCCGCAGAGAAACGTGTCCGCGTTATCTCTCGCGCCGGAGACGCGCCTGACCGCCTCATCTCTCGCGTCACGGAGATACCTGACCGAGTATCTCTCGCACCACAGAGACGGTTGACCCCGTTATCTGTCGCGCCACAGAGACGCCTAACCGCCTCATCTTTCGCGTCACAGAGCGAGATCCAGGAGGAGATGGCCGGCCACCACGGCGACGTGATCGTGGCGCTCAAGTACACGCCGCCGGACGGCAGCCTGGGCCGCAAGGGCCGCAAGACCAAGGGCCGGCTGCACATCATGATCAAGGAGGCCAAGAACCTGGCACCGGTCCGCACCAACGGCTCGGCCGACCCCTTCTGCAAGTGGTGAGTGACGGAAGCGCAGCGGGGCCAATGGCCGGGATATGCGGTGAGGGTCGGGAGGGCCAATGGCCAGGGGCATGCGGTGAGGGTCGGGAGGGCCAATGGCCAGGGGCCTGCGGTGAGGGTCGGGAGGGCCAATGGCCGGGATATGCGGTGAGGGGCGGGAGGGCCAATGGCCGGGGCATGCGGTGAGGGTCGGGAGGGCCAATGGCCAGGGGCATGCGGTGAGGGTCGGGAGGACCAGTGGCCGGGGACCCACGGTGAGGTTAGGGATGACCAATGGCCGGGGGCCTGCTGTGAGGATCGGGAGGGCTAATGGCCAGGGTCTGCTGTGAGGGTCGGGAGGACCCATGGCCGGGGCCTACTGTGAGGGTCGGGAGCACCAATGGCCGGGTGACTATGACTATAATGACTAGGACGGATATGGACTATAGTGGTATATATATATATATATATATATATATATATATATATATATATATATATATATATATAATGCAAATAAACTATAGGACTGTAATGATAATGATCAGGAACCCACTGTGAGGGTCGGGACACTCACGGGCTATGGCTGGCGCCTGAAGGCCAGCTCCGCGTCACGTGCGTCGCTCAGCCGCCACCGCAACGTCTGCACGGGGCAGCTAGTTATGTTAAAATGACATCTCCGTTGGAGCCAACTTCCGCTGTCTACACTCAAAGATAAATGCCAGCGATTTTCACGCAGATCCCAACTACGTCAAATGAGTTTGTTCAGATGACAGGGTATGTTGCTGGCTATGGGTAATGACAGTGCGGTGAGTAATGTTACGGTGTCTAATCTCATTTCACTAAAAGACTGGTGCAAAAAAAACGCGAAAACTTTGCCTAATAAGCGGCTTATGAAAGTTATCGCTTCCGTATGGCTCTCATCTCGATGGTAGTTATGGCACCCATCTCCGGTGTAAATGGCATTATCGTCACTTACATGGAAATAAAAGACAAACGTGATGGAGCATTGACTACTCGGCCATGATCTGTGTACGTAAAAAGTACGTCAGAAGTTGATCTATGGTGTGGACTATCGTGTGTTGTCGGCTTCTGACCATTGGCGGCCGCGTGCGGCAGCTACCTTCTGCCGGACAGAAAAAACAGCAAGCAGAAGACGTCGGTGGTGAAGCGAACCACGTGCCCGCGATGGAGCGGCGCCCTCACCTACGACAACGTCAGCCTGGGAGAGCTGCGTGAGCGTGCGCTCGAGCTCACCATCTGGGATCACAGTCTCACCTCCAACGAGTTCCTCGGCGGTGCCCGCTTCAACACGGGTTCCGGTAAGGAGGGCAGAAGATGCGGCAAGATGAGGGGGGCGGAGAGGGCATGTCCCATCCTGCGGGCTGGCAGGGACGAGATGATGATTTTGCCCCCACAAATTTCGGGAGGCCCCTTTTGCTTAAACTAGAGGTTTTGTAACTGTACTTATAGACCAAGGAGGTGCATGGTTCAAGACGATAGTTTCTGAATCAGGAGAGCCTTCGATGATCTATGTAGCATATGCTCTGGGTGAAGAAGCCCTATCCTGTATTGAGGATAGGAACCTTCCTTATAAATGCGACATCTTCGCTGGCACGAGAGGTCCATGTTAAAGACCAGGATACCAATCCAGGATACCAATATCAAGAGGTCCTATTCTTGAATGAGAGGTCTCATTATATAGAGAAAATAGGGCCCATATTTGGGAGCCTCTTTATTGGGTAGGTAAGCCCGCTGTATTAGTTAGAAGTCCCTGACCTGAATTGTTCTCATGGTCGATGTGTATGTACAGGGATATATAATGCAGCAATTTGATACGAATGGCTCATGCATCCAGCACTCTCCTGGAATACGACACCGCCCAGGAGGCAACGCCGTTGGAAGGTTCACGTTGTCCAGGAGAACCCCTAGAAAATAATACCCCACCCCCAAGTCAACACCTGTGGCGCCGCCTCTGGTCCAGGGTTGTCCAAAAACTCTCACAGCCCCGGCACTGAGAATGCAGCACCCTTAGCAGTAGTGAATACTTAGTTCTGAACTATGGTTATAATTGTCCATATTGCGACAAGCTGAAACGGGTTTAATTATGTGAAGCAGATATGCTGCAGGTATTCTGATGGCCTGCTCCCATGGCAACGGTTTTTCGGGTTACTTTTTCGTATGAGTGTTAACTTCCGTAACGCCTACGGTTTCGTTCCATTGTACTAAGGGCGGCTTGGTGCCAGTTGATTTCGACCGGCGTTTGATGACATCTTGAATCAATCTGCCACTCTTCCATAACACAGGACTACTTTTCGAAGGACTGGACCAGAGTAGCGGCTCCACGTCGCCTGGTGTTGCTTGGAACTCGGGCTGTGGCAGCTTCTCAGTGAACGGTAGCCATGCAACCTTTTACAACGTGCACCCATTCCGATGGAACTCCGCCACATTTGATCGGACTAAATGCACGGATCAATAGACCGGTTGACTGGACGCCTTATTAAGTCCGAATAGTAAGCAATGGATCGTGTTTCTATCGCTACGCCAATTCTTCACAGGGAAGCAGCACGGCAAGCCGGTGGAGTGGATGGACGCGGCCGGCCAGGAGGTGGCGCTCTGGGAGCAGATGATCGAGCGACCCGGCTACTGGGTCGAGGGGGCCGTGCCGCTGCGCTGCTCCATGGAGCGTGCCGTGCCCGTCGACAAGTGACTCACGCCGGCCGCCTGCGGCCCACCCGCACCACATCAGGATCTCTGCCCGCTACTAGTGTCCCCTTGTAGTTATCTGTCGGGCCAGGGCGGGCCGTCGGTGGCGCCCGCGGCGCCGTGCGACCCTCGGAGTCAGACCGGCGCTCGCTGAAGCCGCCGCCGCCGCGCCGCGGCGGCGGCCTCAATGTCAGCAGTCTGCCCCGGGCCGGATGTGTTCCATGTCGGCCGGTGTGGCGCCGCCGCAATGTGTCATTCCAGTTGTGATTGGGCCCGGAATGCGAGTGATTTCCTATGGTGATTCTGGAGCGCGCGCCGCTCGCGGGCGAGTCCGCGAAGCGACCACGCGTGGACGCGTCATGTCGTGGCACGTGCCGACTGCCGCACGGGCCCGGACGGGGCCCGGCCGGGCCGCGCGCCGGCGGCGGCTCGTGTTATCTGTGATAGCCGGCGGTGCGGCGCGCGGCGAGCGGTGGGAGCGCGCGTGGCTCGCGGGCGCGCCCGGCCGACGCTGTGTTCTCCTGCTGGTCGTCAGCCCGCCGGCAGCGATCCCGGCCGCCGCGTGCTGCCCCTGCACTGTATCTGTGTCAACGCTGCGTCCACATATATATGTATATGTAATACAGTATCATCGTTGAGGACGGCCGTAAGACGTGAATGCGATGTAACGTTTTAGAGCGTCCGTGTAGCCATATTTGTAAGTGGTGTTCAAAACCGTAAGAGGAAAGCTGCGTAATTTATTAAAATAGAATTACCTACTCAGCCAAAACAAAAAAGAAGGCTGAAGTGGACCCTGTGAAGAGGAAACTACATGTAGAATACTTGGTCGGCGTAACAGAGCACGGAGAGTACAGCAATGCCAACCAAAACCTCGCCACAGGCTCAAGCCGCTTTTCGCTCTTGCTGTTACCTGTCGAAAGCCACTACGCAGATATGTTAGAAAGGCGCTGGCTGCACCGGGAGATCAGGGACTGCTGATCCCAGCTGTTCCCACTGGCGCTAACAAACCAGTCAGGATGGGAGACCGATGAGACGACCTCGGTATCCGATCCCAGCTCTTTCCACTGACGCTGACAAACCAGCCAGGATGGGAGACCGGTGAGACGACCTCAGTCTCTTCCATTGACTCTTGGATGGATGGGAGGCCGGTGAGACGACCTCAGTCTCTTCCATTGGCTCTTGGATGGATGGGAGACCGGTGGGACGATCTCAGTCTCTTCCATTGACTCTTGGATGGATGGGAGACCAGTGAGACAACCTCAGTCTCTTCCATTGACTCTTGGATGGATGGGAGACCAGTGAGACGACCTCAGCAGTGACGCCAGCCAAGACAATCGGGAAACTCGGGCTTGAGTTGCATCACATAAACTCCCTCTCCAGCATCCTGAATATTCATGATTTGCCCCAACATTTTGTCACCTCAGTTGTGGCCCCAGCTCGCCGAACGATATGAGCCAGTATCATCTGGGCAACGTTGTTGATCACTCATTAGAAGAGGCATCTTGACAGGCGTCATTACGTCAGTACATTCGCCTCGGCAAATCAATGAAACAGAGAACACAGCACGCAAGGCGGGCCTGAATGTCTCGCAAGAGATATGATGAGCCTAGCTGTCAGGCTGTCTTGGATCTGGTAACCGTAATGACCGTTAGCCCATTCGAGCAATCACATGTGACAGTCCCTGGTGAAGCTCCATTAACGGTTATCGCATTTCGACCTCAGACCGAGCTTAAAGAGCTCCAATTCTGATTGAGCCACATGACGAAGTGACATATTTTCTTCAATGAATCCTCAATGGCCAATCGCTACGCTGTTTTTTTTCTGTGGGCAAATTGCAACCTGTTATAATGAGATTGTATGTCTGACATTAGTTATAGAGTGGATAACTGGGCACAGTGACTTTGTGCTGACCAAAGCCGTAGCTAAACATCCTTTCTAGCAGTGAGGCACACGCATACAGTCGCAGCTGAGAGTCTGGCCTCAGCTGTGTTCCCCTGTCGCGCACTGGTACCAATATCCCTCAATGTAGTGGCGCACTTCAATCCCCTGATGTAGATGTCAGCACTATATGCATGGTATAGATGGCAGCTCTATCTTTTCCTGCCGGTCATGAGCAAAGCACTGCAAATACGCACAATTTGATACATTTTTGCGGGATGACAATCGGCGTTTTGCGTAGATATCTGCTTCACGGAAAATACGACTATTTGACGGCGCCATTCAAGCTGTAAGGACGCCACTGCTGCTCTGCGGACAAAAACACCATATGAAAAACCACGTAGCCAAGCAACGCAATGATGCATCATTCCATGCCCATTTTTCAGGAGATCGCCATTTGGTCACACAAAGCACGGTTGAGGTGTATGATATTGCCAACAGGAAGTCACGGAATAGGGATTCTTGAGGTGTTTCAGGGCCAGTGAGACAGACGGGGTCGAGGCAGGCAAGGGATTCCATCTCGGCCACAGCGTATGTAATTTGCAAGGCAGCCAACGGGCAGGCAGTTACTGTTCCGACCTAAGAACAATGCTTGCATCAAAATTGATAGAGAAATTTGTAGAAGATCAGTGAGACCCGAGGTGGCAGCATGTCAGTGCAACTGATACCCCGAGGCGGTTACAGTGTCTTACCTGATCAGGAAACCCCCAGATCTTGTCGGCAGCTCCGAAGGCCAGCCATTCAGTCACCAGACCACAGGGCGCCTTCAACTGATATCAGTAGCCCTATCAATAGCGTACAACGGCGTTTAAGGCGTTCAGGTGTGCCTGAAGTAACCCCCTCCCCACTCCCACCCGTTTACCACCGAGCAGCGTCAAGCTGTCTCGATAGGTTACACGGTCGCAGGGGCGGTCAGCAGATCCCATGACAATTGCTTTCCGCGGCAGTCACAGTTCAAGGAATTTGCACGAATATCAAGAGCATTCCAGCCACTCAGGACCTCACCCCTTGCCATCCAATGCGCGGCACTGTGATAAGGGCTGGCCGAAACACAGGGGGCTCAACTTTCGGCTTCGATGACAAGTTCCGAGCAAAAGGATAGAAACAAACTTGCCGGCGGGTGTAAGCGTTCGATTCGGCTAGAGAACCATTCCTAAACGGGTTTACGAAACGTTGGTGTTGGAAAAGCAAATCATATTGCTCAAAAGCTAGGCGTAAGAGCGTCAAGGTACCTAGACGATGTTTGCATGTTCAGTCCCAGGGGAAGATTATGACTGTTCAACAATTCTTACATCCTGAGCTTCGCATGATCTTTTGCTGTTCCTGACATTTCTTCTCCACGGTGGGCATTTGTTGCACCATGCTCCGGTTCCGAGTAGCAGGCTACCATGTATTTGCAGTGTTGTGTACCCTCGCCGTAAACGTGCGTTTCCAAGGTGTTCATGACACCGATCATGAACACTACGTTTTGCTTTGACTTAATAAAATGTTCCTGTGCAGATAGTACAAAAGACCTTACATGCCACATTTTTCTGTGTGCGTTTTTCTTTCAGCCGATGTGCATATGTGTGGCGACCATAGTGACATCTCGACATCTTGACAAGCTGGGTCTCTAGGGCTGGTCGAACTAGCATGACTTTAAACTTCACATCGCCAATCGATGCTACCCTAAGGCCGTGCACAGCACTCGATGGTACGCTTGTTTATTTTACCTGTTCACAGCTTTGTCTCAAAACGGATGCATTGTTAAACAGGACGTCTAATGATTTTTAAATGGGGGGCACAGCTCAAAAATGAAATCCAAGTAAAACGTGCCACAGGCACGCGCAATTCTTGTGTCGTAAAACGGCATCGTACGTTCTCGGTCATTTTTTACGTTCTTGCCTGACATCGTTGATCGTGATCATATAATCGCGTACGCCTCAATATATGTCCTTAAGTTGGAAGGGAGGGGCTTCCATGTGCGCACCCTTTGTTTTTAAACAAAGAATATGCTGTGCAAGTGGAGAGCATCACTTGGTGTTCGAAGTACCTGATTTCACGGAAACAAGGATAATTTATCGTGACTCTGTTCACACGGCTGGAAATCAGAAGATGCACGCATTGAGCTTCGCGCTTTTGACATAAAGCCTGCTTCCTTAGCACAGTCATGAAGATGTCCCGACTTATGGTGCAGCATGACGGCGAGTCAGGGGTTTACAGTTCAGTTAGCCCGTACAATCTTTAACGCATTGCAGTACACACATGATGTCGAGGAATGGAATCGACATGTGTTATGTGTTGTGCTCCAGATTGAGAAAAATGTTGGCGTGGTGTTAATAGAATTTTGCGAAGCAGCATGACTGTGAACACAGCTTTAAGCATCGAGTTTTCACCCCGCTATACCCATTGCTAGCTCAATAATGGCATCTAAACAGCGCCCCGTTGCAAACTAAATGTCGATTATTTTCAGCGAACTCTCAGCTCATATGTCCAGTCATCACGGCCGCATGACCTTCCTTGCTTATATGAACTTCAAACTCATGTCAAAGTGCTGATCATGTTGTTTGTCAAGACAGACATTCTATTGGCCGGTCCGGTCCACTGGCCTCCATCTATTCTGTCCTTCCAGTCATCGATATGTCTGTTGACGTGCATGTTTAGTGCCACTTCTACGTGTAGGCACTTCCTGGTAGTGCACATGACACATTGGTCGTATCCTCGCCAGAGAAAATGTATCACGTGCACTTTGCTCCAGTCTGTACGTGTCTGGCCACGTTGTCTGTTGTTGTTGTCAGTTGTCTGATTCTGCATGTAACTGTCTGTTGCGATCCGGACCACCTTCCGTGAACGATAAACGAGTCCTGTTTCCGGTGGTCATATCGTACCGTATTACTAAGCTGTCTGTGATTCGCATCAATTATAGCTGCTGCTAACACAAGCTGCTGCTGCTAAGCACAAGCTCACACAAGCTCCTCACAAAAATGCTGTTTGACATCGGGTTGGAATAGGATGCCATTCTTCCGTAATAACAGAGCTGCCATTTTTAGGAGCCTTGCCTTCTTTTAGGAGACCCTGTAATATCGACTACCGCGAAGTCTTTCATGGAAATATGTTCCTTGCAGCTATGAGATCCAAATTACCTCGCTTGCTAGTTGTGCAACTTTGAGCATCTTTAAGAATCCACGACAGCAGCCGCCACTGTTTTGAATTTTGGTCGAGTTTGAAAGATTTTTTCTAGATGGCTTGGAAGGTCATGCGACACCACTTTTGAAGGATTTTCTATAGCAGATTTTCATTTATGCAATTCTTTTTTCGCGCATGAGGTCAAATTCAAGGTAAATTAAGGGTCAAAGGCCAAAGTTGATCACAAGTAATGAAAATCAACTCTTTTGAACAATATATGTCGTTCGCTGTCTTCTCGCACTCATTGTACGGGTACCACTCGCAGAGACTGCATGTTTTATATACTGTAATTAGATAAACGTATGATACGCATACGACGCATGTGCTAAAGAAGATGTTTTTCACTTAATTGGGTAGGCATAGTTGAGTTGCAGTCCTCATGCTTCTTATGTGAGAACCTGCAATTGCAACTACCACGAACGTTTAACGAAAATCTTACATGCGACTCATTTTATGTAGCTAGGAGAGCCAATTTAGCTTTGGTTGCTCCTTGCACAATTTTGCGCACTTCTTGTCCTTTCCGCCGCCATCTTGA